TAACGGATCAACTATAATATTGATAGAGGTAATTAGAAGTATCTTATAAAAATTTGAAAATACTAAATCCAAAATCATTCCAAACAGATTAMAATTATTAAAATTATTAAAATTAACAATATTATTTAATTATTAGGAATAAATGTCACCCARAAAATAATATTTTATTATTAATGAAAAACGACTATGAATTTAGTTGAAAACGGGTATGATTTGGAGCCTATGAAATTCACTCATTAAGTTATGAATATAGAATCTTTTTAATTAATTAAATTGACTACACATTAATTATATGATGTTTATCATAAATTTTAAACAGTTTTATTTTGATACAATGATTGGCTTCCTTAAAATTATGACACACAAGTACTGTAATCTATTATATATTCACCTTCAACTCAATAATATTGTAGTCTTATTTATAAGGTATAAATTTGTATTTACTCTTAAAAATAATTAACCGATAGTTAATACTATGATACACAGTATCATTTTAAAGGAATATTTTTCTTATAATTAATGGTGTCATATGATTAATAATAAAATGTAGCCTACAATGAAATATTTTTCACATTAAATACAATAAGTACTCAAAAACAGAAGTCATAAAAAAATTTATTTTATGTAATAATTTTATATTTAACCAAGGGGGGGGGGCGTCGGGCGATGGGTGGATCGAACCCCCGTAGGACCACCACTGAAGTAAACTCAATACAGTGATCGACTAGCATCATTTTAATGGAATTGTTTTCCTTGTTATCATTACCAAAATTGAATTATTATAAGAAATTATTAAATTATATACATTATAGAATAGGCAACAATAAGATAATGGAGAGGAAAAATTAAATTTAAATAAAAATCTAWACACACATAATGGTTATTTAGTTATTGCATTTTCATAAAAATTATAGAAACATTTGTTTTAAAAATGTTACGCCTTACACATGAACAAACAAAATTGTATCTATCTTTTAGTGAGTTAATATTCAAACAATTCATATTCACAAAGAAACGAAGGTTTGTTTAAATAAAAAAGTGAGTAATACAAAGTATACAAAGTATTAGATATAATATGAGGTATCATCATACCAATAGAATAGATAGTAGTATCTAACTGCGTTTGTCTGCGATATAGTATTCTCTCAAWCGACATCATTCTTATTTAAATAACATTTAGAACTTTAATAATTTCAGTAAAAGTAAATACTAAATATCAAATGAATATTTTATACGATTAATTATTTTATTTTATTTTATCCGCAAGTATAAATATCGATAGTAATAAATAAGTATTTCTATGTAATAATTTAGATTTTACAAAATGCAATGTGATCGAATAGCTATACTAGGTKCTAAACTTGCATTCTGTTTAGATATATAATAATTTTTCRCTATTATTACATAGAAACATTTTATGGATGTGTAATAAATAATAATATAATGGTTTATTGTTGACCACATTTTAGTATTGCATGCATTGTTATTAATAAATATATAATTCTATTTCAATTAATGATCTATATTTTGAAGTTTTAAACTATCAAGTTAATTTATCACAAAGTTTATGTATTCCATCATAAAAAATTGTATTTTTTATTTGTGTTTAGAAACCAATACCTAATCAAAATAATGATCGGGTTTAAGATTACATGGCTTTATGTTCTTTTCATATTAGAAATGATTGCGCCTTCATCGTTTTGTATGAACATATCAAGTGAGTATTGATGCATAATTTTTACGATGAAAACGTTTAAAATTTATATGCAATCTGCAATCCGAAGACTAGGATAGAAATAATATCACCTTGATATAAATTAAAACAATATACAGATATATAATATTGTTTGAGGACTATAATGTGAATCAGGCTTTGTTTTTCATAAATAACACAAAGTTTACTGCTATAATATAATACATAGTTCAGGCATTGGACAACGAATACCAACTAACAATATTTTAAAAACACCATAGTTATAAATAATAATAAAGTAATAAGCCTATAAAACTCTGTATAAAATAAATTGTACTAACTTTCATCTACATGTCTTAATATTATGTTAAACCCAAATTTCAATTTTTCAGGAGKCTATACGCCAATGGATATGATCAGCAACTATAATAATAGTAAGCGAGTTATTTATACTTCGTACCATCAGGTTTATGGATATTAAATTATAACTATCATAATATAATTATTGTAAACCTATAGGTACGTTTTTGACTCTATAAATTATATTATATAATACAGTTAAGAACTGTTGTATTCTTCCAAATACCTACCGACTATTAGCTAAAAATATTGCAGCCAGTAGTTACTGATTATAAGTTACGGATATTATATAATAAAATATTTTGACGAAATGATTTTAGATTTTAAATGATGTTAATAGTTATTACAATAGTCTTTGCTAAATATAATTTAGAAATATAATATCTCAAATAAAAAATAGAAAATTTCAATTATTACGCATTCTTATACATATTTAGTTTTATGCTCTTGCTAGATAATTCGCAAATTTAAAATAATTAAATATTATATCATTGTTGATATACAATCATGATGTTTTGTATTATATTTAGAATAACATTATTTTCAGAATATTTACCGAATGCAAAATTGGAAGATGGAACTATGTTAAATAAGTCATCATCCGTATAAATATTTATGAAATAACATGGTTAAATAAATCATTTTATATTTAGATAATACCATGTCATTGGKTATTTAATTAAATATTTACGTTGGATAAAACATATTATGTTTACAGATACTGAAAATTTCAAATTTATTATGAAAAAATCAAAGCAATAAGTTGAATAGAAAATTTAATTTAGCATAACAATATTAATATGTATA